ATTATTAAAGTTAGTTCTCTTTAATGAAATCAATATATGGGAACTTTTTTTTAAACTGTAAGACACTATAAACACATGCAGGAGCAGTATAGTTTTATTTTTCTGAGCCAACACTTGGGCTTATCTTTCTAGTGGCCACCTGAATGGTGGACACCATTTTTATTTCAACATTGTATCTTTCCTTATTAAAGTCTGCTCCCTTTGGGTTGTTTGCTAAGTCCCTGTTTCTAATTTGGAGGACAATTAGGGCTCATTTTCAGAGGAGAAATGATATATTCCCTAAACCCGTAGAAGAAATGGTCAACCCACCTCAGTTTACCGACTCCATTTTACTAAGTTCCTCTTGATGCCTTTTGACTTACATAGCAAAGGAAGAGGAGGGTTTTTTCCCCAAGATATTTTATATACATTCTTATTATGTCCAATTTTTAAAACACTAAAACCTTTCAAGGAGAGAGATATGAGAAGTAAATAGCTGTCTGAAGGGACAGTCTCAAACAGGATTTGATTTGCTGGTCCAGGGCTTAGGATACCAGCGGGATGGGTTCCTAGCAGGAGACAAGTGCATTTCTCAGATGTGAAGAAGATATTTAGCAAGAGATTTGCTCGCCTAATGAGGACCTTAAACTGAAATTTGAGGAATGTGGGCAATAATGCCACTGACCCTTAGTCTAGACAAATACTGAGTATTCTCTTACACTTAAGCTAGACATTAGGAAGGCATATTTCAAAAAAAATTCAGAAAAATATAACAATAATTCTGTGGAATTATTTAATTATCTATTTAATTATCTAGTTATTTAAGAAAAATGTGCCTCAGGATGGCTAGGAAAACCCTAAAAGATAAAAACAAAGGCATTTTGAAAACAATCACTTACTGTCAGGATGAACAAGAAGGATCAGGCATCTAAAGAAATCAATGTGATTACCTAAGTAATCTTCTGATGAACTCATGTTAAAAGGATATTTGTAGGGGCAACTAGGTGGCATGATAGATAGAGCACTGGCCTGGGAGTCAGGAGGTCATGAGTTCAAATGCGACCTCAGACACTCACTAGCTATGTGACTCTGGGCAAGTCACTTAAACCCAATTGCCTCACAAAAAAAAAAAAAAAAAAACATTTATAAAAGATGAAAAGAAGGGTAGATGCATATAGGTGGCATGAACCTGTAAGAACATCAGACAAAAAACCCAGAATAAGTAACCTTATGAACTTGATAAAGGTTTGCTCCTTTTTCCTTCTCTCATTCTTTCTCTGTCCTTCTTGCAGAGCCTTTGGTCTATGCCTTTGATCTTATCCCTTCCTCTCCCCTCTGAGACCTTACTCATTAATTATCTTCTCATTCCCTTCTTTTCAATTTGAGGTAATCAGATTTGTCAATTTTGTGTTTTGTAATTGCCTCTCTCGTTTGGTTAAGAATTATCTCTTGCCTATAGCTGTGAAAGGCATATAATCAAATAGGGAGTTCTTTCCTAAGTCATATATTTCCCTTTTTAATGGTGTTATTTATTAACTGTGGTATAGTAAGTAGCAAGAGGAGTGGGCTTTTGAATTAAAAGACCCTTGTTTCAGATGTTGGCAGTAGGACTGTGGGCAAGTTATTTCAGCACTCTCAACCCATTTATTTCCTCAGCTGTAAATTAGGGATAATCTGCACAACTTACCTTGTAAAGGCTGTTGTAAAGATCAAATGAGTAATGTATATAAAATACTGTAAAGTGCTATTTAAATGAATGCCATTATTTTGTTGTGTTTTATTTCACTAAGTGTCTTGACATTTGCTCACCCATGATTCGATGGGGTTTTTTCCTTGTCATTAGACAGATCACTAATTTCTCGGCAAATATGTCTGTATAATAATATTAATATATTTATTTAGAGTTTTATATTTTCTAAGTCATTTTTACATATATTTGATTATTGATCATCTCAAAATCTCTGAGGTAGGTAAGGCAGGGATTCTTAGTCCTATTTTACAGATGAGGAAGCTGAAATACTAATCCCTCAGACTTCCTCATTTGTAAAATGAAGATTAATAATACTCCAGAGGTCACAGAGATAACATCAGAGCCCAGTCTCATGATTCCTGTTGTTTTACTTTACTGTATTGACTCCTTTTGAGTAAAAAATGATTAATTTGAATATAATTATCCTGAAGAAGAGAAGACTTGGAGGGGGATACGATATTTGTCTTCTAGTATTTACAGAGCTATCGTATTGAAGAAGTTAGGCTTGGTCTTCTTGGCCTCAGTTGAGAAAACTGGAAGCAATAGATAAAAGTTGCAAAGAGACAAGTTTAGGCTTGATGTAAGGAAAAAAATTTCCTATCAATTAGACCTTTTAAAGTAGAAGGGGCTACTTAAGAAGGGAGTGAGTTCCTTTTTAAAAAAAATTTTTTTTGAGGCAATTTGGGTTAAGTGACTCACCCAGGGTCACACAGCTAGTAAGTAGTTGAGGCTGGATTTGGACTCTGGTCCTCCTGACTCTCGGCCTGTCACTCTATTCACTGTGCCACCTAGCTGCCCCTACTAGAGAGCTTTAGGCAAAAGCCAGCTGACCTTTTTTCAGGTATGTTGCAAAATTTTTGTTCAGGTATGAGTTGGATTAGATTGTCCCCTCCAGCAATGACAGTCTGTTATTCTTTTTCTTGATCTCACTTATTTGTCTTCTGTACTGTAGAATTAGTTGTTGAGCCTCACTGTAGATAAGCATAATGCAAACATTTACTCATTCATTTATTTAGCTAAGAGAAAGAACATTTTATTTGGAATCAGGAGGTGTAGTTTCTAGTCTTGGTTTACTAACTAGTGAGCTGTGTGGCCTTAAATAAGGCACTTAATTTTGCTGGCTTTAGGTTTTTTATCTAGATAGTGAAATTATCCTTCTCATTCTAAAATTCCGTGATCATATTATTGTAATGCATATATTGGTTTTATGGCATGAGATTAAATTAGCTTCTGATTAAATGTGAAATTCTTATTTTTTCCTCCTGTGACCATGATCTCTCCCCTGAAGTCTTACCACAAAGCGTCATCATCATGGTGTGCAGGGGATCCTGGGTTCTTGAAGGCTCTCTTTGTGTAGCACCTTCTCTGGAAGGCCCAAAGCTAGAATGGCCTTGAGCATCTGCTCAGCAGCAAACTTTATATCATATTCATATCTACATTTACTCAGAGATTGAGCTTATCTAAATGCAGAGAAGGAGTAGGCCACGAGATAATGATTTTTTTAAAATTTTGGCCATAGTAACTCGTAAAGCTTTGTAAGACGCAGAGGGTTTGAGATCTGAATCAATAACAGGAGTAAACCAGACTGGTGGAATTATGGATCCTCGAGATATTGAAAGGAGCCAGCATGGCTTCATCAAGAACAGGTCAATCTTATTTCCTTTTGTTGATAGAGTTTCTGAACTGGTAGATGGGGGGACTACTATTTCACTTTTTTGCCTAGATTAAAAAAAAACAAATTATGAACTTGATAGTAGTCAACAGACATAAATATTTCTATATACAGAGAAGGTCAGGAAAAAAAGAGGATTGTTTATGAAGCTATGAATCTACAATGTTCAGGGTTTTTTTGAAGTATGTATCAGCTTTAACATTGTTAATAGTACAAATGCTTCCCTTCCTGTATATGTCCTCTTCTGAACTTTCATCTGCTTTCTTCTTTGTATTGTAAGGGTTTCACTGATTCTCTTTTCTTTCTTTTCTTTTTTTTTTGTACCATTATCACTGCTACTACTCACAACACTTTTTATTTCTCCAGTAAAGCCCAACTTTGTAACAAATTTTTACCTAGATTCTAGTAAAGCATAGAGTAAAGTCTTTCATATTTCTCTTATGAAAAGGTGGAGAGATGTTGGCTGGACAATAATACAGCTGGATGGATTCAGAACTGCTGAAATCACCAGACACCCAGAATAGTCATTAAAGGTTCAAGGTTGGCTTGGCAGGACCTCTCCAGCAGAGTACCGTACCTCTGGGGCCTTGACTTTTCCCTGGATGTTGTTAACATTTATATCAGTTGATTGAATAAAAGCATAAACGGCAAGCTCATCAAATTTTTAGGGGACACAAAGCTGAGAAGGATAGCTAGCATACCAGAAGATAAGAGTCAGGACCTAGATAGATTTCAACAGATTTAGAACATTGCTGTGAATCTAAAAAAGATGAAATCCAAGAGGGAATTGGGTTCAGAAATCAATTTCACAAATAAAAAATGGGAGAGACATGGTCAAGATGAGTCAGCAATGTAATGTGGCAGCCAAAAAAGCTAATGGCACCTTGCCATTATGGCAACAGGAACTTATGCTTTGTATAAGTAAAGCTTCTAAGAATAAGGAGGCGATAGGCCCACTGTATTTTGTTCTGATAACACTACATCTGGATTATTGTGTTCAGTTCTGCACCCCACATTTTAAGAAGGACACTGAAAAACTGGGTAGCATCCAGAAGAGGAGAACCAGGACAGGGAGAGGTCTTCAGTCCTTATCATATGGAGATTAGTTGAAGGAACCTAGGATGTTTAGGCTGAGAAGGAGAACCCACCAAGGGGGTATGATAGCTGTATTCAGATATGTGAAAGGTTATGATACAGAGAGATCAGGCTTGTTCTCTTAGGCCCCAGAAGGAAGAACTAGGAGTAGTGGGTGGTATTGCAGAGACCAGTTTTGGCTCTGTCAGGAAAAGATTTTCTCCCAATTAGAGCTGTCCCAAAGTGGAAAGGGCTGCCTTGGTGGTGGTAGGGTTCTTCCTTGGAGGTCTTCAAGCAGAGGTTGGATGACCATTTGATGGGTATCTTATGGTGGGAATTTCTTCTGGGTATAGATTGGTCTGGATGCCTGCTGAAATCCCTTGCAACTCTAAAATTCTTAATTTCTGCATTGTGAGCCAACTCAACCCTTAATTTGTTCAGTTCCTGTTGCTTGCTTAGGGTTATAGAGAGTTGACAGGTTTTGAAATAACCTCCTGATGAAACTATCTGTTTTGCTACTTACAGAAACAAATTGGAGAAACATGGTGGAAACCTCAGATGGACTGGAAACATCCGAAAATGAGAGAGATGCTTCATATAAAGTCATTGCACCTGAAACATCCAATAAAGTTCCAAATGACAAGGTTCCTGTTAATAAGCAGCTACCCTCAGTGACTACCAGCAGCACTGCCTCAACTATAAACCCTGGGAAATGTACAGTGAGTGACAAAGAAGAAGTGAAACCAGATGACCTAGAGTGGGCATCACAGCAGAGTACAGAGACAGGGTCTTTGGATGGGAGCTGTCGAGATATTTTGAATTCTTCTATCACCAGCACCACAAGTACTCTTGTACCGGGGATGCTTGAGGAAGAAGAGGATGAAGATGATGATGATGATGAAGATTACCCCCATGAACCCATATCTGTAGAAGTGCAGCTCAACAGTAGAATTGAATCATGGGTCTCAGAAACCCAGAGAACTATGGAAACCCTTCAGCTTGGGAAAACCCTTAATGGAGCAGAGGAAGATAATATAGAACAAAGCGGAGAAGAGGAAATAGAGATTCCGGAGCAGACAGATCCAGTAACTGAGAGTGAGGAATGGACAGCTGATAAACACGCAAGCAGTGTCCAAGAGAAATCTAACAGCTGCAGTTCTCTTAATAAAGAGCATTCTGATTCTATTACAACATAAAAATGCATAACTCAGGAAATTAAAAGAAAAACATGTATATATATATGTATATATACATAAAATTAACTGTAAGGGTTGCAGCCATTACCTTTTATGCTTCATCTCAACATTTTGCACTGTTAAATGTTTAATAAGTGTATTTAATTCCCAACAGAAATATTTTTGTAGTTGTCTTTGTTACTTGTTTCATTATGATCTGTAGCTTAGCTTTTAATTAACATCAAAATGTATTTCTAAGAGCTATCTATGAAAATTTTGGCAGATAAGTTCTAGCTTTTTCTGTAATAGAAACTAATGTTAAAAGATAAGTTTTAAGGGAAATAATTTTAAAATGCCTACTTAGGCTCATATTTTGAAAGCAGAAGATACAAGTTTTAAGATCAACAACAGCTTACCGGCATTTTCATTCAGAGTATCCCACTGTAATTTTAATTTCTCTGCCCATGTTGTTCTAATGAAAGCAATGGGAGGGAACTTTTCTGGCTGCTATAAAAAAAGTGGGGATAATGCATCAAAAAGAAAACAACCCACCTCATTGAAAGGAAAAGGGTGACTGATACCAGAAATGTTTCATGATAAGTTTGAAGAAGCTGTTATTTGGCCTTTGGAAGCATATTTCAAAGGCTATTCATCTATATAGAAAGATGCAGATTGTAATGAAATAAAATAATACCTCTAGAACTTTTATGATAGAGGAGGAAACTTAAACCTTGGTGACCAGTGATGGTCTGTGCTTGTCACAGCTAATACTAATTTTCTACAATTATGGTAAAGTAAACCATGATCACCCTCATTCTGATATTTGTTTTTTACTCATTTACCTCAGGAATGCTGTTGTACATGATCTATATTATACAGAATTTGGCATGTTTTGACAGGTAAATATTTAATAGTTAAGTGTAACTGTATATGAAGCACTTGATGTAAAGGATTCAAAGGCAAGGCTTGGATGTTGATAGATGCTGATATTATCTTGCATGTTTCTAGATCTTGACCCTCTTAACTTGAGTTAAGGATCTGGTTTGATACATAAGATCTTGTGTAGACTGAAATCTTTGCATGTCAGTTGCACTAGCCTAGTGATATATCTCCTGCATAATAAAGAAGGAAGACCATAGCTACTAACATAGAGGAGAGACAAGGCATTTACAGAACTGCAGCAGGTGTCCTGGTGACTTAAAGCTCAGAAGAGTAAATGTAGAAGAGAGGAAGTTGTCATAGTTGTAGTGAAATTTACCAGATGATGATTCAGAGTAAGCAATTGTCTGTACTGTATATTTACTCCTTGATCACTTAAAAAAAAAAGTTCACGTCACTGCCCTTCTGTAGCAATGTGTGCACAGAAACTACCTGCTTTGAGGAGTTAAACTTACTGAGCTCGATTCTCCACCTCCAGTCAGACACCTAACAGGCTCTCATGAACCATTTCAAGTTTGTGATGGTAGGAGAATCAGACCATCCCATCTCCACCTCTTAAACAAAACCAAATCAACTTTTTGCTCACCAGCTATAACTACCTAGGCAATAAGACTGGTTCAAACATGAAGTCTAGGGATGGGAAGAGAGAGAGTTCTCTCCTTGCCACACTACTACCTGGCAGGTTGTGCCTCACAGAGCCAGAAGAGGAGAATTGGGCAGAATATTTATTTAACTCATTGGAACTACTGTATTAGTTTTGGTGTTTTACATTGTTGGCATTTTAGTTCTTGGAACGTTCTAGGGTTAATGATTAATGTTAGCCTTCTTTGAGATGCTAATGAGTGTTTGAGACCCACAGAAAATTTGTGGATTATAGAAAATACTCATAATTGAGAGACGCAGATGTCTAAAAAATATTGATAATCTTTTAACCTCGTTACTGTATGAAGGGGGAACACTATTGTCTTTTCTTTTGTTCCCCAGTATAGACTTCCTAGGCACTAAGTAATGGGCATTTTAAGAATGCAGTGTGTAAGGAATGACGCCTCTTAAAATTGTAATCGTGGACAGTTATATGGCAGATCTTACTGTCTCTACACATATAGAATTATTAGCCAATATAGGAAATGATAGAGGTTTTGAACTACTGACAATCTGTCCTCCCCTCAAAAAGTGAATTTAAGGGTTTTAGTACTTTCCGTGATGTATATTTCCTTTGATTAGTCAGTGTCAGTGATTCTGATAACTCTTGATCTTGAGATAAATACTACAATGGTTTCTTATATTTTATATATCTTTTCTGAACTTGAATTGTCATTTTAAAGTTTTTTGACTTTGTATACAGGAAAAGTTCGGGTAATCCTCAGACCACCAATTACTTGTAATTTTGCTATAGATTTCAGAAGTGTTCTATAATGTGTGCAATAGATCCTCTCACAGTTGTGGTACCCATTCTGCCGACATACCCCAAGGGACCATGGCCTTTTTATAATAGGAGACAGGTCACCTCTAGAGGCTAAACCAAAATTTGGCAAAGGATGTGCTACCATGCTGAGAGAGTATGCTTAAGTATTAATAATGTGCTTAGGACTTGTTTCCTTTTGATAAATTATAATAATGTTATAATTGTAATAACTACAGTATGTGGAGAAGGTTGTCTAGTATCCAAAAATTAGGAGTTTTTTGGGGGGAAGTTTGGAGAACAAGTAAGAGAATTCATGATAGTGAAATTGTGATTCTGTCAATGCTGAAAGCATAGCTTTTTTTCTAATTTTTGGATAGGTTATTTTATTGGGATTAATTATTTGAAATGTTATATTTCTATTTCAACATATATGATTTGCTATGTGGGTTATTATACTCCCCAAAACAGATTTTCTTGCTGCCGTAGCTTGGTTTGCTGTGAAGATAACTACTCATAAAACAAATGTTCATATTAATTTTAATTTTTAGTTTAGCCATTTGTAAATCCTGTAATATATTTCTTTTGGCTAAATACGGGGAAACTAATGTGAGGATATAGTTGGAAGAACAGTTTTTAAAGGAACTGACTGGAGGTCATTTTTGCAGAAAAGTTATTTTATATGCCTCCAATACTTGGGAAAGAAATTTAGTCAAAAGGTAATTCATGTAGTTTGTTAATTAAATATTCAAAAACTGTTCATGTCAGAATAATGCACTTGTTTGGTTTCTTAACATATGCTGGGGTGGGATAGGGGAGGAGTGGGAAGTGTTATGTGCAAATGGGTGATGAGCTATACACGATTGAGTTAATTTCTTTAACATAAAATTTAAATTTAATACAATGTTACTTTAAATATATGTATGCAGAGTATTACTGTTTGAAAAGCTGCTGTTTGCTTTAAAAACTGTCATTTTAAGTATTTACTATGTTGTGCCAACTCATCAGAATATTAGCTTAATCTATTTAGAATATGGACCAGGTTTTAATAATTTTTTTAAAAAGTTGCAGTGAAATAGATTTATTTACAAACAAACCCTTCCCTTCCCTTTTCTTTCCCTCAACAAGCAGAGTGAAGCCATAATGAAAAACTGTAGGGTTTTCAACCCAGCCACACACCACAGAAACTACCAAAATGTCTGTTTAACTTGAAATTTGAACCCCAAGTACTGAAAACTTACTGTTGGCACATCTCACCTTCAGAGTGTTCATATGTTGTGTGTAATAGTGTGTTCTTTTATTTTAAATAGTTCCTAATGAAATGCCACATTTATCTATAATTTAATGTCTTTAAACTTATACTCTGGTATAAATTTAGTATGAATTAGAACATGAAGGTTTTTTAATTTTTTTGGTTCTTTGCTATATTAAGGATAAATGTTCTGTTAATCATTTTGGAGTAATAACAGCTTTTTTGCACTATGTAAATATTAGTGGGGACTCTTACATAACCAATAAAATGATTGTAGAAGTTTGGTCATTTATTATAGTATAAATAGGTGAAGATGTAATTATTCATTAGCATCATGAATATAGAATAAATATGGGAAAATCTTGGCTATAGGGTTGGTAAACACTGAAACAGGTTTCCAGAAGAATGTCGTTGAATGTTTCTGAAACTCCTTCAAAACAATACCCATAGCATTCTAGGCAGTGTGCTGAAGGTGCTTTGGCTCCAGGCCAATGGCAATTCTTCAAAAATCTCCTGAGTTAGACTTTGTGTGGGGTATCTTTTATTCCATTGGTCTCCAAAGTTTGGGTTGGGGGTTGTGGCTAGAACCCAAGGGATGTATGATCAGCCAATCATACACACTCCCCAGGTAGGCAATGGAGCTCATTTCCAACTCACCCTCACCAGTCCTTCACTCATTACAGCTCAACACTCCTCAACTCCTTCACCTCCCAAGACTGTACTAGCTCCCAACATTTCTTTTCCAGGCCTTAACAACCTGTCAGTGAAGTTGTAACCGAATCTTACCCAGGCACTCGGGCAGCTGAATTTGTATAATGAAAAAAATTTGGAGTGCATTATCCTAGTACGGTAGTCTTTAAATTTTTTGGCTCCATACTCCTATTAGTAATTTTTGAGCATGTGTGTCACATAAATGTGTTTATTTGTAAGTTATGTACCTGTACCACTGTACTAATAATTATGTAATTAGTAAGAATTGTGTACCAGGCACTGTGCAAGACTCTAGGAATACAAATACGAAGTGAAGCTGAAACCATTCCTACTTAAAAGAAAGTTACATTATCTAATTTACATAAAAATAGAAATAAAAAGAAGTGAAATAATATATAATTTTATTATTAATAATAAATTTCATTATTATATATTAATAAAAATTTTAGAGCCAATAGGGAGCCACTGAAGTTTATTGAGTAAGGGAACGAGTATGGTCAAATGTGAGCTCTATGAAAGTTACTTTGGCAGCTGAATTGGAGTGAGGAGAAACTTACAACAGGGAGACCGATTGAGAGGCTTTTGCGATCGAGGTCCTGTGTTAGGATGGTAACCATGTGAATAAAGTGATCTGTGAAGGTAGAAATGACAAGATTTAGCAACTGATGGGATATATTAGGTGAGAGAGGAGACGTCCCGTTTAACAGTAATTTTGTGAAACCGAGTAGCTGGGAAATATGATACCTCTGGAAAGAAAAATAAGGTAATGAGATTTGTGATCTGTCCCAACCCATCCATGCCTGCTCATCCAGTTGGATTCTGCCCCATCCAAAAAGAAAATGGGAGAGATGGGACTCTGACTGGTTACTACTTGAGAGGTACTTGATGGCCACAAAATGATGGGTTGGGGGTGGGGGAGTGTATATTGGGGGAAGAGGTATGCAGAACATTCAATAATAGAGCCCAAAGCTGCTGCCTTGCGAGGCTGGATTGCAGTTAGGTTATAGTTACACTGAGAGGCTGACTCCAAACTCGGTTAAGAAGAGGGAAGTTGGGAGCTTGGGTAGGTGAAGGAGGGAGCAGAATGCAAATGAATGTTGGACAATATGGCTAAGAATAATCATGTTGAAGTCAAGCCCCAGGATACTGGATATCTTGGGAAAGACTGAGATGTGACCTCCTAATTAAAAAACATTGTTTTTCTTCTGGGAAGTCTTAGGGCCCCTTACAAAGTTCCACTGTATTTCGTGGTATATGCTAGGTGTGCTAGTGAGCAGAGGAAGTTACTCATTTATTTTAATAGCAAAATATTTTATTATAGAATTCTTATAATTGGTAAGGGATGGTCAGGGGTTCTAGAGGGATTCACATAGATAATTTTCTTTTGTTTTACTGGATTTTTTTGTGGCTAAGGGGAGACATACTTTTTTAATTTTCAAAGTAGTTTGCTTTTGTGGAGATCTCAAGTGTAATAATTACAGTTTTGTTCTTTTTTGACTTTGTGCTTATGTTTCTTATTGCATTACTTCATTTTTGCATTCTCTGCTATTTCCTTTTTTTTAGATATCCACTACTTGATTAAAATTCTCCACCTTTGATCCAAGCTATCAGTTCTATTTTTTAAGTCTTAAGAGCTCTATTTAGAGGCCACTAGGTAGCAAAGTGGCTAGAACCCTGGATCTAGAGTCTCAGGAAGACCTGAATTCAAATGGAGCCTTAGTTACTAGTTGTGTGACCCTATGCACATCACTTAACCTTTCTCTGCCTCAGTTTCCTCAACTGTAAAATGGGGATAATACTAGCAACCAAGTCCCAGGGTTGTCTTAAGGATCAAATGGGATATTTGTAAAGGGCTTAAAATGGTGCCTAGCACATAGTAGATGCTTAACAAATGCTTCTCTTCCCTTCCTTCCCCTCCCTATTTCCCCTTACTTCCTTCTTTCCTTCCTTCCTTCCTTCCATATTATTACTCCTTGAGATTTCTCCTAGAATTCTTTTACCCATTAGTATTTCTTCATGTATTATGGATCTTTTTTTTGTTTGTTTGTTTAGTTTTTACCATTTCTTTTTCTGCACGGTTTTCGTTATGTTTCTCTCTCCCCACTGCCCTTCTCCGCTATTTTAGTTTTACTTTATTTGGCATTTATTTTGCAGTTTGAGGTGCGAGAGCAGGGGAGTTGTACTTTGACAGAACCAATTAGAGTACAGCCCCCAAACTCTCAAACAGTAGTTAACTACCCAGAATGCAAACAACTTCTGTCCATTTCCCCCAAAAGATGTAGTTGTTTTTCTACAAACCAACCAGAAGGTGGTGTACATGACACCTGCAGTCAGTCACAGGATACCAACAATGTGAAAACTCAGAATTAATCCTAAAATACTAGCTTCTCTGTGGTGTTAGTGGCTCAGTTGCTACTTTGAACTTTGAAACAAAGCAGCTGAAACTATAGGTCAGTTGCTGATCTGCATTAGTAGAGAGAGTTTAGTAGCAGATAATTTACTTACCAGGAGTTCTTTTCATCAATGAAATCAGTGGTCTGGGTTCCCTTCACCCCCACCCCCCACCCCACCCCACCCCACAAAAGATCAAGTTGCTATGGTGCTGGTGTGATCATGACAAACCACCATTTAGTTTAAACTACAATCTTTTTTTTATATTCATAAATTCATAGAATGTTAGAGGTGAAGAGAGCTCATTTACCCAAACCACTTTATTTTACAGAAGATGAAATAGATCCAAATAGATGAAGTAATTCTCCCTGAAGTCTTGCTGTTAGGGCAGAGCTATTGGGATTCTCAGGGCAATCTGTTATTTCCTTCCATGATATTACTGTCAATTCCTTCAGGTCTTTGGGCATGTGTGTTTTCCTTTATGTATTAAGTTTGGTTTATATAGCACTTATTTAGTGACTACCCTAGTAAAGGATGGAGACTGATGTTTCTGATATTGGAGATTCAAATTTTGTTTACTTCAGCATCTAAGAGCAAGGACAGCTTACTGAATTTCAGGGCCAATGGAAAGGTGCCCCGGCAAAGTCCTAAGAGATCACATATATGGGAAGGCGGGGACCTCTTTAGCCTCTCTGTTCACATTCCAAAACCTCTATACTTCCCACCCTACACCTGTCCTAATTTGCTGACATTTGTGGTAGTTAACACCGCAAGCTCACAACTTTGTAATGGTGGCTGCCATATTGGACACAGGCATGGAGTGACTAAAGACCAATACACTCAATGTCTATGTGAATATAGTTAAGTGACTTTGTCTCTTGCATTTAATGCCACTTGTGTCCACGGCTTTGGTGTCAAGAAGGGCTGAAATGAACTTAAGGACTCCTAGTTGATATTTCCAATTGCCTCTTACCCAGTTGCCAAAAGACTAGGAAATGAGTAAAGTTATCAGTGTTCTGCCTTTTGCACACTTTGGTTTAAAGAACTTTGGGATAACAAGTGGGAATTGTAAACTTGTGAAGTATGTATCTTTATAATTTATGGGTAAACAGTATGAGTGTTCTTTTTCCAGAAGAGATCATGTCCTCCCTGCTGTCCCCTGCAATGTGTCTCTGCATTGGTACACCAGTGTCTCTGTGCTGGTACTTATTTTTTTCTTAATATATTTTTATTTATTTCATTAAAATATTTCCCAATTACATGTAAAAAATTTTAACATTCATTTAAGGTTTTGAGTTCCAAATTCCCTTCTTCCTGCCCCTCCCCCATCCCTTGATAAGGTAAGCAATATAATTTCTATTATACATGTGAAGCCTTTATGCTAGCACACATTAAAGGAGAGATTACATAATTTTAAAGTGGTAGATAGTCAACAAGTATTTATTAAGCACCTTTATGTGCCAGCCACTGCAATAAGTACCGGGAATACAAAAAAAAAAAGGCAAGAAACAAAAACTAGTTCCTGTTCTCAAGGATCTCACAGTCTAATAGGAGAGACAACATGCATGAAACTATGAACAAAATGTTCACAGGATAAATTGGATATAACCGAAGAAACTAGCATTGAGAAGTATTGGCAAAGGCTTCTTGTAGAAGGTGGGATTTTGCCTGGGGCTTAAGGAAAGCCAGGGAGGCAAGAAGATGGAGATGAGAGAGAGAATTTTAGATAGAAGGGATAACCAGTGAAAATGCCTGGAGGTGGGAGATGAGAGATAGCAGCAAGGAAGGCAGTATTAATGTATTGTAGAGAAGTAGAAAGTGAGTAAGGTGTAAGAAGACTGGATACTTAGGAGTGGGCCAGGTTATGAACTATGAAAGCCAAGAAGAGGATTTTATACTTGATCCTGGAAGTAATATGGAGTTACTGGGTTCTATTATATGGGGGAGGAGAGAGTAACATAGTCAGACCTGTGTTTTAGGAAGATCAATTTTGACACCTGAGTGAAGGATGAGGCTTGAAGGAGGGAGAACTAGAAGACTATTGCAATAATATTGGTGTGAGGTGATGAGGGGTCATATCAGAGTGCTGAGTGTCAGAGGAGAGAAGGGGGCATACACAACAGATAATACAAAGGTAGAAATGACAGGACTTAGCAAAAGATCTGATATGAAGGATGAGAGGGAAGAGTTGAGAATGGTACCTGTGTTGTAAACCTGCGTTCATGGAAAGATGGTGGTGCCCTGGACCATAATAGAAAACAGGAAGAGGGAAGAATTTGGGAGGAGGATAATGAGTTCACTTTTGGACCTAATGAGCTTGTGTGTGGTTTGTTCTTCATTCTTGAAGAGGTCCATGACATCAGGAAGATGATGCCATGACTTGCAAGTAGACTGGATTTGAGTGAGGGAGGGCAGGTGTCACCAGCCTCGCTTTCTCCTCCAGAGTTATCTGGGTCCACTGGCCAGATATAGATCAGGACCACTGGAGATGGCGCAATATTGAGTTTTAAGATGCCTACAGAATATCCAGTTTAAGATGTCCAGCAGACTTTTTTTTTTTTTGGCTAGGCAATGAGGTTAAATGACTTGCCCAGGGTCACACAGCTAGTAAGTGTTATGTGTCTGAGGCCAGATTTGAACTCAGGTCCTCCTGAATCCAGGGCCGATGCTCTATCCACTGCGTCATCTAGCTGCCTCCCCAGCAGACATTTTGAAATGTGAGACTAGAGGTTAGGGCTGGCTAAGTAGATCTAGGAATCATTATAGAGATGGTACATGCTTCCTGAAGTCTTGACTTTGCAGGTCTGCTCATGTCACTCCTCCCCCTCCCACCACTCAATAAACTTCAGTAACTTTGTATTGCCTGCAAAAGCAAATACAAACTGCTCTGCCATTCAAAGCCCTTCATAACCTAGCCCACTCCTACCTTTCCAATCTAATTACACTTTAACTCTCCAACACATACTCTTCAATCCAGTGACACTGGACTCCTGGCTATCCCACGATCAAGACATCCCATTTCTTGGCTCCAGGCGTACTCTGGCCATACCTCATGCCTGGAATGTTCTTCCTCCAGTCTTTGCCTATTGACCTCCCTGGTGGCTTCCTTTAAGTCACAACTAAATCCTACTTGCAGGAAGCCTTCCCCAATTCCAGTGCCTTCTCTCTGATAATTATTTCTTATTTATCCTGTATATAACTCGTTTTATGTATATGTATATATATATTTTTTTGTTTGCA